ACCATCGGCATAATTAAACAACTGAACAGCCAAAAACCCGGCCCTATGCGCGGGTCGGGTTGTGTCCAAATTTCAGCGCAATCGGTGCAGTACTTTCGGAGATTAGATATAACACAGAAGAAAAATCCTTCCATTTTTATATATATAGATTATCTGTCCGTTTACCACTGCTCCTCGTGAAATGTACAACATGGTCCGTATCCATTGCAAAATTTTATGGACTCTATAGGATATCTTTTTAAAGACATAGAAGAATATGTGGTTTTCTTTACGCGGAGCGCCTGCACCGTGTAGACTGCAATCAATAGGCGCTAATGCAACGGCCGATTAGGCTCCAAATTATCCGGCAATTAGAAAACTTTTCTAAAACCCAATTATACGCCTTCCTCGAGTATAAAAAATAAATATGACGCGATTCACTATCAAACAATTGGAAGAAGGCACATTTTTATTCGTGCATTTTATAAAATATATTCGAATTCGCGAGACCATCGAAAATCAATGTGAAAAATGCATGCTACTTAAATAGTCATTTTTTACCGAGTACGGTTTTTAGAGGAGACTGAAACGCGGTGCATTCAAAAGCTGACATCCTGCCGCGTCCGAAATATTATAGGATTATGTTGCAAGATAATCAGCATTACAACCGCGCTTAAGTAATCCTTCCTAATCGAAAACACACTTCAGAATTTTGGCCAGCATTTCGTGAGCTCGGTCACGCACTGTAGATAACGAGAAAGCGAATAAAGTCGAGTGGGGCTTTGAGCACGGTGTTTGTGCTCTCTCTCGACGGTTCACGCGAGCATTTGATTGCGCGGTGTTGAGGTTGTGCTGCATGTTCTGGACCGTTTACGACCTTCGGCCCTGACGCCTTGCACATCCTCTGCTAAACTTAATCTGGGGTTGTGTGTACACCCTTCTGGCAGATTCCTAACTTTTAAAAAACAACCTGTGACGACATAAATCGGGCTCGACAGTCCTCATTTCACTTTTTTGTCGCGTGTTTTTGAATGAATTGTTCCGACCCAGAGCTTCGCTCGCCGTATAAACACTTCTCGGGAAAATGCGTGTCCGATAAGACTTGTAGTAATCACCTTTGTTGGCCTCCTCTGGAGCTGAGCCCCCGAATTTGAAAGCCCCAGCTTGCCTCGTCGGTCCGTTTTGGTCGGGCAGCCTTTCGCCATTCAGATTTCCCAGTTTACATCGTCTGGCTCCTTGTGGGGGAGCAGGATTCCACCGCCGCTGCACAGTAGTCAACTGCCACTCAGTTGGAGGGAGAGGGGTGTTTGGAGCCGTATCTTCGGAAACTTTCTTACACGCTTTGGCGACTTCACCTCCCTCCCTTCCTCCCCCCCCCCTTCTGTAATCCGCAGTGGCGGTCCTACCGCGTAGTCGTTTGAACCTCTTGTGGCTAGACATTCGATTGTCAGATTATCTCAAGGATCATCGACTGATAGGGTTCACTGTGGCTGCCGTTCTCCGGTACTGATGTCGGGAACATGACTCCCGTGGAATGGATACTAGCAGAAGTTGTGTAGTGGGCAGCCATTATGACCGGTCTGGCGTCCTTGTTCAAGACCTCGCTGCCTCAAGGTCATCCACCCTTTTGCAGTGAGCCGTTCCAGACGCACTGACCTGAAGTCACACGACCGACAGCTCGGGCATACCTGCGTCTGCACAGCCGCAGCTGTCCATGCGGCCACTTGAACGCA